TTAGGTGGCAACAAACTAGATAATCTAGAAAAAAAAGAGATAACTTTCTAGAAATATGCAACATAACAATAATCAATTATGAAGAAATAAAAAATACAGACAGATACATAACTAGTAAGGTGATTGAATCATTAATCAATTACTCGCAATAAAAGAAGAGCCAGAACCAGAAGGTTTTATTGTAGCATTTAAAGGTTTTACCAAGCATTTAAAGAAGAATTGGCACTGATCCTTCTCACATTCTTTCAAAAAAATGTGATGAGGGGGAGCAGTTTCCAACTTGAGGTGGGCATTACACAGATACCAAAACCAGACAAAATACTACAAAAATAAAAGTAGAAACCAATAGTCCCAAATGAATATTAATGCAAAAGTCCTCCAAAAGATAATAAAAAACTGAATTCAACAACAAATTTAAAAGATTATACACCATGATCAAGTGTGATTTATTCCTGAAATGCAAGAATGATTCAACATAAAAAACATCTATCCATGTAATTAACATACCACGCAAACAGAATGGAGAAAAAAATTCCACATAATCACCTCAATTGATGAAGAAAAAAGCATTTGCCAAATTCAATACATTTTCACAATTTAAAACATAATAAAATTTACAAACTAGGAATAGAAGGAAATTACCTAGACACAATAAAAGTTATGTGTAAAAAGGCCACAGCTAACATTATACTGAATGATGAAAAACTGAAAGCTTTTCTGCTAAGATTAGGAAAAAGGCAAGAATCCCCACTCTTAAGTTTTCTATTCGACATACAATCAGAAGTCCTAGCCAGAAGCAATTAGGCAACACTAAGAAATAAAAGTTGCCCAAATCCAAAAGAAGAAGTAAAATTATTTTTGCTTAGATGTAGAAAATTCTAAAGTTCAAACACACACAAAACTATTAGAAGTAATGAACAAATTTAAGGAAGTTGCAGAATAAACAACACACAAAAGTCAGTTACGTTTCTCTTCATTAATAATAAAAAATAAAAAACAATTTTATTTATAATTTATAATAGAATCAAAAATAATCAGGAATAATCAAAACCAAAAAGTTAAAAGTCTTGTACACTGAAAACTACAAAACATCATCGAGAAATTAAAGATGAAACAAATAAATGGAAAGATATCCCATTTTGATGTATTGGAAAAATTAGTAATGTTAAAATGTCCATACTAAGCAATGTGATGTATAAGTTCAATGCAAACCCTATTAAAATTGCAATGGTATTATTTTGCAGAAATAGAAAAGCTATGCTGAAATTCATATGGAGCCTCAAAGAATTCTGAATAGTTAAAAATATTCTGAAAAAGAATAACAGAACTGGGGCTTTACACTTTCTCACCTCAAGATATATTACAAAGATGCAGTAATCAAAACAATGTGGTACTGAAATTAACGCAGACACACAGAAGAATGGAGCTGAATAAACCTGAAATTAATTCTCAAAATGCAATCAAATTATATTAACAAACACATTGTCTTCTTTTCTATTAATTATATTGGTAAAACTGGATATCCTCATGCAAAAGAATGTTGGGCACTTATACTGTGTATAAAACATTGACTCAAAACAAATTAAATACCTAAACATTAGACTTGAAACTAAAAAACTTCTAGAAGAAATCTTAGATTAACATCTTTATGACAGTTGGATTTGGCAATTATTTCCTAGATATCACACCTAAACCACAAGCATTGGAGACAAAATAGACATTATAGAAGAATTAAAATTTCCGTAAAATAAATAAAATGATCAACAGAGTGAAACAGCAACCTTTGTCTGATAAGAAGTTAATATCCAGAATATTTTAAGAATTCTTACAACTCAACAACAAAACAAATAACCAGATTTAAAACTGGACAGAAGACTTGAATAGACATGTCTTCAAAGAAGATATGCAAATAGCCAACATATATGTGAAAAGATGCTCAACATCACTGATTATCAGGGAAATTCAAGTCAAAACCATAGTGAGTTATCTCTTGACAACCATTAGAATAGCCACTCTCAAAACCAAAACAAAACAAAGCAAAAAACAGAAAATAAGAAGTGTTGGTGAGCATATGGAGAAATTGGAAGCTTTGCCGCCATTACTTAGAGTGTAAAATGAGGCAGCTACTATGGAAAATAGTATGACCATTCTTCCAAAAATTAAAAATAGAATTACCATACGATTCAGCAATACTACTTCTGAGTATATATCCAAAATAACTGAAAGCAGAGTTGTGAATATTTGCACACTCATGTTCACTGCAGCATTAGTCACAATCACCACGATATGGAACCAATCTAAGTGCTCACTGATTGATGAATAAAGAAAATAAAGATATGTTACACAATAATGTGTATAGACTTAAGACGACTCTTCTGAACACTTAAAATGGTACAGATGGTAAATTTTATGTTGTGCTATTCACCACAATAAAAAAATATGATCACTTGGGAAATAAATTGGGCATTTTGTATATTTTAATTAATTTACTTATTTTTGAAATGAAGTCTCATTCTGTTATCCAGGCTGGAGTACATTGGCATGGTCTCAGATCACTGCATCCTCACCTACCAGGCTCAAGCCATCCTCCCACCTCAGCCTCCCAACTAGCTGAAATCACAGGCACATGCCACCATGCCCAGTTATTTTTTTTATTTTTTATTTTTGTAGGGATGGAGTTTTGCCATGTTGTTCAGTTTAGTCGCAAACTCCTGAGCACAGGTGATCTGTTGGTCTTGATCTCACAAAATACTGGGATTATAGACATGAGCTCCAGCACCCCTCCAAATTTGGCAATTTATTAACAAGTTAATTATACATCTATCTAGTCACTCAGCAATTCCATTCTTAAGTATTTATTGTAGTAAAATAAAATTACAAAACTTCCAAAAGCCTTGTACAAGAAGCTTCCAGTGATGAGATTGCTGAGTTGAATGGTATGTACCCAAAATACATAAATCATTCTATTACAAAGACACATGCATGCATACATTCATCGCAACACTATTCACAATAGCAAAGACATTGAATCAACCTAAATGCCCATCAACGATACACTGGCTAACAAAAATGTTATACAAATACACCATGGATTACTATGCCACCACAAAAAAAGAATGAAATCATGTCCATTGCAGGGACGTGGATGGATGGAGCTGGAGGCCATTTTCCTTAGCAAACTAACACAAGAACAGAAAAGCAAATACTTCACATTCTCACTTATAAGTGAGAGCTCCTGAGGCAGGGCAAATCACAAGGTCAAGAGATCGAGACCATCCTGACCGAAATGGTGAAACCCCGTCTCTACTAAAAATACAAAAATTAGCCGGGTGGGGTGGCGTGCACCTGTAGTTCCAGCTACTTGGGAGGCTGAGGCAGGAGAATTGCTTGAACCTGGGAGGCAGAGGTTGCAGTGAGCTGAGATCGTGCCACTGCACTCCAGCCTGACACCTGGTGACAGAGCGAGACTGTCTCAATAAATAAATAAATAAATAGAAGTGAGAGCTAAATGATGAGAACACATAGACAAACAGAGGGAACCAAACACACTGGTGCCTTTCAGAGAGTGCAGGGTGGTAGGAGGGGTAGGATCAGGAAAAATAACTAGTGGGCACTACGCTTAATATCTGATTTGTGTACAAGGAACCCTAATGACACAAGTTTACCTGTGTAACAATCCTGCACTTTTTCCTCAGAACTTAAAAAACAAGTGTAAAAAAAAAAATGAGAATGTTGGCTGGGCACAGTGGCTCACGCCTGTAATCCCAGCACTTTGGGAGGTTGAGGTGGGCAGATCACAGGGTCAGGAGTTCGAGATCACTCTGGCCAACATAGTGAAACCCCACCTCTACTAAAAATACAATTAGCCAGATGTGGTGGCACGTGCCAGTAGTCCCAGGTACTCAGGAGACTGAGTGAGGAGAATTGCTTGAACCTGGGAAGCGGAGGTTGCAGTGAGTCAATATCATGCCATTGCACTCCAGCCTGGATGATAGAGTGAGACTCGTTTAAAAAAAAAAAAAAAAATCCCAGCAGCTTTATTTATTATAGCAAAATACTGGAAACAGTTCTGATATCTTCAATAGAAAAATGTATTAATAAATGTAGCCCATTTATACAATGCAATAATGAACAGCAATATAAATGAACAAACTAAGAAATGTGCAGCATAAATTAATCTGAAAGAAATTATTCATGTAGAAAGAAGCCAGAATTAAAAATAAATAAAGTGTAATTCCATTCTATAAAGTTCTAGAAGAGACAAAATAATACATATTGGAGAAAGTGTAAGTGAATAGTCATTTCTGAGGTTGTTATTTACTGGGAACAGTTTTATGATTGTAACAAGTGGATTAAGCAAATGTGTGCCTTTTCAGAACTGACCCAACTGTGCAAGATCTTTGCATTTTATTGCATACAAATTATGTTTCGGTGAAAACTATATTATTCTTCAATTTTTCAAAGAAAGTATTAGATAATATACATTTCATTTTAGAAAATGGAACAGGAAAATAAAATTGATAAATAACCTTCTAAGTAGTTCTACATGAATTAGTACATTCCCACAAAGGCAAATGCTTTCTTCCATCTTCCTTCTCTCATCATGACAACTTAAGCACACATTCTTGTTTAGCAAGACCAATAATCAAATCAAAGTATTTCATTTTTAGTTAGAGAAAATATATTCACCAAATATTCTGATGAAATTTAATACATCAGAATATAATACATGCATGATATTTAATATGCTTATTTTTAAAACAAATAATACTTCTCCAATTGTAGCTTAGGAAAAAACTGTAATGTCGTGAACTACATTCTTCAAGAAAAATAACATCTGTTCCTTTTTTATAAGGCTTAGTAGCGTACTTGATAATATAAAAATATTTACAGTCAGACAAAAATCTCAACTACAAGAAGAAATCACGAATTACTGTCAAGATAATAATTATGTTACTCTAATGATGTGAGCACTTTATCCATTCTTTATTAATGCTTACATGCGCAATCTTCATTCAGTGGAAGTTTGAGGAAAGCAGGTGCCCTTTTTAAAAATGACACCGTTAGATTCACTTCTTCTCCAGCATTCCGAAGAACTTGAACCTAAAAAAGAATTTAAAAAATACAATTATGATTATGTTTAACATTTTTACATGATTGCAAAGCCTTGAAATTATTGTCTCTTCCACCTTCCATTTCTCCCTAGTAATCAGAAACATTTTATGAAAGATAGAGGGAGTGAATTATTTATCATTGTAGTAAGAGCCATCAATGATTCATCCTCCTGTCACCATTCTGTGATCCCATTTATACATAATCTACATCTTCCATTCATACTTACTGAGGTCTTCCTGAGCTTATGGTTTATATTAGGTAATATGAGGAATCATGAAGTCCACAGAAAGACAGATATATGTATTTGTTAGTAAATATTAATACTTGTTGAACATCTATTATGCACGAATAAATGGGATAAGCTTCGGAGCATCAGTTATGCAACATAAAATAAGTGAAGATATGAGATAAAATTATTCTAAAAAGAATAAAAACTGGTTCTGCTGATACTGACCAGAGTGCTAATTCAGATAAATCAAATTAACCCAATTCATTCTAATACTCTTGCAAAAAATAAATAGGCATTACATCTTCTACTTAATTTAATATTTTCTTTTCCTTTCCCTGCAAACCTATCATTATCAATAGCATCAGTTGTTATATAATGTTGAAGTCTGTTATTATCAATAACTCTCAACATTTTTTAAATTATAGAATTAGCAAGTCTAGTTCCTTCCAGTTAAAATCATGTCAGGTTCTCCAAAAATTATATCTAAAAAAATGTAAGCAATGTAAAAATCTTTAAATTACGCAAAAATTTTAAAAAGAACAAGAAACTGGAGAGTTATTTATAGCAAACACACCAGAAAAAGATATAAATATATTTGTTACTTTAAAACATCACAGAAATAAGGAGATAAGAATAATTCATGAGAAAACAGTTAATAAACATGGAAATATATGTTGTTAAATATAGAGAAAAATTGCTCGACCTCAGATCATTAAAGAATTGGCTACTTAAAACCAATTTAGAATGACTTCTGGTCCTGACGAGATGGCACAGGTGTCCGGCTGTGGTGGCTCACACCTGTAATCCCAGTACTTTGGGAGGCTGAGGGGGCGGATCCCCTGAAGTTAGGAGTTTGAGACCAGCCTGGCCAACAGGATGAAACTCCACCTCTGCTAAAAATAAAATAAAAATAAAAAATTAGCCAGCTTGGTGGTGGGCATCTGTAATCTCAGCTACTTGATAGGCTGAGGCCAGTGAATCACTTGAACCTGGGAGATGGAGGTTGCAGTGAGCCAAGACTGTGCCGTTGCACTCCAGCCTGGGCATCAAAAGCAAAAATCCATCAAAAAAAAAAAAAAAAAAAAAAACCACAAAAAGCAGCACAGGCTCATCTGTCTCTGCTCCTCCCCAAGAATTACAACTGTAAACACTGAAGAAAATAAGAACTCTGAAAGGCAGAAGAAAGAAGACCTGATTAGGATCTCAGGCCAGCACTGGACAGGGCATACCTTACCTGCTCCACTAAGCAGAGGAACACCAACTGGAGGGGCATTTTCTCAGCCCTAACACTAAAACAGAAAGCACTCTAGATAGGCTCATGCCACCTCTAATTGTAAAGGAGCCCCTCTAATACCAGGCAATGCCACAAACATCAGTGAGTGATGACAATGGGAAGCCAGCAGAAGTGCCTGCCTTCTCCCTGGGCCTGAGAATCATTTGCCCCACTCAGAGGTACTGTGTAACTGGGAACACTGGCAGGAGTTCCTCCTCATAAGTGCCCGGGAGGGAGGCCACTTTGTCAAGGTCCCGAGATACCCTCCCCTGCGTAGATACACCATCCTAGTGGAGAGGACCAGTAAAGATTGACCTGTTTCAAGTTCCCCGTTATCCTGCCTCCTCCACAGCAGGAAGGAAGCCTCCGTAACCAGCACTGACCTGGGAAAGCTTTTTCCATCCTTACAAACAACAGCAGCAGGGAACGGTAGGAGCCCAGTGACATGACATAAATGTGTCATAACAAAGCAGCACCAAATGACTCTAAAATGTAGATCATAAATGGAACCATGGCCCACGAACCCATGAGCTAAACAGTAAATTTCTGTTTAAAAAAGAAACCTCAAGTAAGTATCAGAGTCACCTAAGATAATAAACAAAATGGCCAGGATATAGTAAAAATTATATGTCATACTGAGAACCAGAAAAATCACAAATAAGATAAATCACATATTGGAACTTTCTCACAAGGATTTTGAAGCAATTTGAACAGCAATGCTGCCATAAGAAATTACAAGCTTTTTTGATCCAAGTTAAAAATTATAAAATCTCAGCAAAGAAATAAGCTATAGGTTATAATATCCAAATAGATATTATGCAAATATTTTTACAATATACATTTATCAAATTTATATTGTAAAAATTATAATAACAATTTTTTTAAAACTTGGGGGTAGTTTAGTAACAAAGTGGGAATGAGAAAGAATAGAATTAACAAAGATGAGGACAGAATAATAGAATTCACCCACTCACCCAATCTGAACAGTAGAGAGTATATAGCCAAAAAAAAAAAAAAAAAAAAAAACTAACTCCCAGTAACCTGCAGGATAGTAACTAAATATATAAAATGCATATCATATATCATATGAGTCACAGAGGAGAGGAGAAAGAAGAGGAGCTGAAAGAGTATTTAAACCTATAACTGAAAAATTCTCAAATTGAATGACAGACATGAGCCCACAGATTTAAGAAATTTAGCCAGCCTCAAAAGGATCCTGCCAAATAATTCTACACTAAGACACATCATAATTAAAATTCTACAAACTAAAGATAAAAAAGAACAAACTTTAAAACTTTTTAAATGAGCCAAATAAAAGACTTATGTAAACATTATTAAATGTTTTAACAAATCAAACAATGCAACATCATTGCAAATCAGATAATATAACATGATCAACTGGAGCTTAATCCAGGAATACAAGGTTGGTTTAACATTAGAAAATCAATCAGTATAATTAAGCACATAAAAAACTGAGTGGCAATATAAAAAAAAAATTGGCAATATACAACGCTTATATCTGTTGAGCACTTTAACCAAAGTAATGGTAGAACAGAACTTCCTCGAACTTACAGAGAGAAGCTCTAAAAGACTTTTATCAGTCTTTTAAATGATAAAAGACTAAAGTCGAAACTGACAGAGAGAAGCTATAAAAAAACCTAAATGTAATATCCTTTAGTCTTTTATCATTTAATATCATTATCATTTAATATCATTATTTGGCCTTATCATTTAATATCATTATTAAATATAAAAAAAAAGTGTCCACACTATCCGCTTCTAGTCAACATTTCCATAAAGGTACTAGGCAGGGCAATATAGAGAAAAAACAAGTAGGTATCTATATTTGAAAAGAAGGAGCAAAAGCATCTTTATCTGCAGATGACATGATGGCTTAGCAAAAAGTCCACTAGAATCTACCAAAAAAAATAAAAATGCTGCTGGAACTAATCCTAACTAATATTTTTAGCAAGTTTCAGAAAATAAGATAAATATAAAATAATTATATTTCTTTATAAACAATCGGAATTTCTAATTTAAAAAAAAAAAACCCATTCATAAAATCACCAAAACTATGAAATATTTATGTATCAATCTAGTAAAAGTAATAATAGCCCTGGCTGGGTGCAATGGTTTATGCCTGTAAGCCCCACATGTTGGGAGGCTGAGGCTGTTAGATCACCTGAGATCTGGAGTTGGAGACCAACATGACCAACATGGAGGAATCCCGTCTCTACTAAAAACACAAAATTAGCCAGGAGTGGTGGTGCGTGCCTATAATCCCACCTACTCATGAAGCTGAGGCAGGATAATCGCTTGAACCCAGGAGGCGGAGGTTGCGGTGAGCCAAGTTTGCACCATTGCACTCCAGCCTGGGCAACAAGAGTGAAACTCTGTCTCCTAAATAAATAAATAAATAAATACACACATACATACATACGTAAAATCCCTGTGGGCAAACCATTGCTATTAGTAATTTTTAAACATTTAAATATATATGTCAGAAAACTCAGTATTTATCTACCCTAGTTGACATATGGGAATCCCAGCAAACTTTTCTATAAAAATTGACAAACTGTTATTAAAATTCATGTGGAAATTTGAAAAATCCAGAATAACCAAACCACCTTTGGAAAACAAAAGCAAAGCTATTAAACCAATTTCATTTGATTTTAACAGATATAAAGAAACTACAATCATCAAGACATTGTGTTATTTAATAAATAAATAAATAGTAATATAATATGTGTCCAAAAATAAATGCAAACAAAAATAAACAACTATTTTTCAGCCATGTTGCAAAGGAGTAGAGAAGGTAAAATCTTTTAAAAAATTGTGCTGGGAGGAGAGAGATCCAAGATGGCTGATCACTAGCAGCTCGGGATTGTAGCTCCCACTGAAAGCGCAAAGAATGAGAGGACGCCACACCTTCACATGAATTCTTGTTGCTCACGCACCAGGAGATTCCCGGCGGAGGAGCCCCACGGGTCACCAGCGTGACTCTTGTGACCGGCGAGGCGGTTTTGCCGGCGCCTTGGAGCGACGGTTCTTGGTGCAGAGTCGGAAAAGCACCATCAATCTTAAAGCCGCTGATTTGGTCGGTGCAGTGGGTTGCTCAGATTTCGGCGCTTAGAATCAGGAAGTTGGACGTCCACTCAGAAACCTAATTACAAAGACGGTGAATTCAAAGACCACAGATGGATAAATTTATAACGAAGGGAGGAAAACGGCCAAAAAAGGCTGAGAATGCCCAAGATCAGAACGCCTCTCCCTCAGCGGCGGATCCCAGTTCCTCATCAGCAACAGAACAAGGCTTGATGGAGAACGAGTGTGTTCCAATTACAGAAGCAGGCTTCAAATGTGGATAATGAGAAACTTCTGTGAATTAAAAGAACTTGTTTTAACCCAATCTAAAGCAACTAAGAACTTTGAAAAAAGATTTGACGAAATGTTAACAAGAATACACAATTTAGAGAGGAATATACG